TCTATGATGAATTGAGTTGAAATTTTAGTGGGGATTACAATCATTCTGCGGATTGCTTTTGGCAAGATGGTCATTTTTACTATATTAATCCTGCTATTCCATGAGCATGGGAGGTCTTTACATCTTCTGAGATCTTTGATTTCCTTCTTCAGAGACTTGAAGTTCTTGTCATACAGATCTTTCACTTGCTTGGTCAGAGTCACACCAAGGTATTATATATTATGTGTGACTATTATGAATGGTATTGTTACTTTAATTACTTTCTAAGCCTATTTTCTTTGAGTTGAGGAAGGCTACTGATTTGTTTGAGTGAATTTTATATCCAGCTACTTTGCTGAAATTGCTTATCCGATTTAGAAGTTGTCTGGTGGAATTTTTGTATCACTTAAGTATACTATCATATCATCTGCAAATAGTGATATTTTGACTTTTTCCTTCAATTTGTATCCCATTGACTTCCTTTTGTTGTCTAATTTCTCCAGCTAGGACTTTGAGTACTATGTTGAAGAGGTAGGGAGAGAGTGAGTAGCCTTTTCTAGTCCATGATTTTTGTGGGATTGCTTCAAGTTTCTCTCCATTTAGTTTGATGTTGGCTACTAGTTTGCTGTATATTGCTTTTACTACATTTAGGTAAGAGCCTTGAATTCCTGATCTTTCCAAAATTTTTACCATGAAAGGGTGTTAAATTTTGTCAAATGATTTTTGGCAATAAATGAGCATCTAATGAGATAACCATGTGGTTTTTTTCCCTTTGGCTTTGTTTATATAGTGGATTATTTTGATGGATTTCCATATATTGAACCATCTTTACATCCCTGGGATGAAGCCTATTTTGATCATGAAGGATAAATGTTTTGTTGGGTTCTTGGATTTGGTTTGCAAGAATTTTATTGAGTATATTTTTATCAATATTCCTAAGGGACATTGGTCTGAAGTTCTTTCTTTATTAGGTCTTTGCGTAATTTAGGTGTAAGTGTAATTGTGATTTCATAGACCAAATTGAGTAGTGTTTCTTCTGTTTTTCTTTTGTTAAATAGTTTGAAGAATATTGGTATTAGGTCTTCTTTGACAGTCTGACAGAATTCTGCACAAAATCCATCTGGCCCTGGGCGTTTTTCGGTTGGAGACTTTTAATGACTTGTGCTATTTCTTTAGTGGTTATTGGACCATTGATATGGTTTATCTGTTCCTGTTTTAATTTTAAACCTGGTATCTGTCTAGAACAATTGTCCATTTCATCCAGGTTTTCCAGTTTTGTTGAGTATATCCTTTTGTAGTACGATTTGCTTATTTGTTGAATTCCCTTGGTTTCTGTTGTCATGCCTCCCTTTTGATAGTTAACCCATTTGCCACACCAACCAGAGGGCACAGAGAACTCTCTAATTTATGGAATACCTTAGTTTTATGAACTTTCCTCTTAAGTTCTTTGTGCTTTTGTTCTTTCCCATAAGTTTGGGTGTGTTTTTCCTTCATTTTCATTGTATTTTATAAAGTCATTAATTTCTTTCTGTATTTCTTCCCTGAGCCAGAGATCACTGAATACAGAGATTTTTCAGTTGACATGTGTGTATGTGTAGGCTGTCTATTTTTATTGAAGTCCAACTTTAGTACTTGGTGGTCTGATAAGTTACTAGGCATAATTTTGCTTTTCTTGTATCTGTTGAGGCTTACTTTGTGATTGAGTATATGTTTTGGTTTGGTCAGTTTTGGAAAAGGTGCCATGAGGTGATCAGATGAAGGTATATTCTTTTAGCTTGAGTTAAGTTTTTGACCATATTTCCTAAGTCCATTGGATTCATAAAATCAGTTATTTTCATAATTTCTCCATTTAATTTTTGTCTGGATGACCTGTTGATTGATGATAATCATGTGATGAATTCTTTTACTATAGTGTGTAATATTTGATGTGAAATTTACATTTTAGCAGTGTTTGTTTTACAAATGTAGATGCCTTTGTGTTTGGAGCATAGATGTTCAGAATTGAGATATAATTTTTTCGATTTTTTCACTAATGATTATGAAGGTCTTTCCCTATCTCTTTAGATAAAGTATCAGTTGGTATTCAGTTTTATTACACATCCGTATTCCTACTCCAATTCTCTTCTTGTGTCTGCTTGTTTGGAAAACTATTTTTCCAACCTATTACTCCGATGTAATATGTTTCTTTATTGCTGAGTTGTGATTCTTGTATGCAACAGTGTGATGGAATGTGTGTTTTTATCCATTATGTTATCCTGTGCATTTTGAGGGGTAATTAAATCCATTGATGTTGAGAGATATTCATATCTAGTGAATGTTAATTCCTGTCATTTTGGTGTTGTAGTGAGTGTGTGCCCGCACATGTGGGTGCTTCCCTTGTTTTATTTTTTCTTGTACAGAATTACTTATTTTTGTATGTTCTTGGGTGTAGTTATCTTTCTTGTGTTGGAAATTTCTCCTGTAGTATTTTCTATCAGGCTTGATTTGTGAATATATCTTGTTTAAATTTGGACTTGCCTAGAGATATCTTTTTTTTTTTTGCCCATCTATGGTGATTGAGAGTTTGGGTGTTGTAGGTTGGCATCTGTAAGTTTTTTAGATGCTGCAAGATATCTGTCCAGGCCTTTCTGACTTTCAGTGTCTCAGTTGTGAAATCTGTAATTTTGATAGGTGTGCCTTTGTATGTTACTTGCACCTATTAAAATCATCTCTTTTTTATATAGATTTTGTGTTTTGATTATTATTTGGTAGGAGGATTTCCTTTAGTTATCCAGTCTAATTGGTGTTATGTAAGCTTCTTCTATGTTTATAGTTATTTCTTTCTTCAGGTAAACTTTTCTTCCAAACTTTTGGAAAACATTTTCTGGTCTTTAGAGCTGGGACTCTTCACCATCCATTGCTAATATTCTTAGGTTAGGTCTTTTCATTCTATCTTAAACTTCTTGGTTGTTTTTTGTTTGGAGTTTTTCAGATTTAACATTCTATTTGACTAGTGTATCAATATTTTCTGTTGTAGGTTCTACACCTAAGAATTTGTTTTTCATTTATTTTATTCTATTTTGTTGATGATGCTTGAATCTCTTGTTATTGCTATCTTTCTAGGTGTTTTTATCTCCAGTATTCCCTCAGTTTGTGTTTTTCTTATTGCTTGTCCTTCCATTTTCAGGTCTTGAACAGTTTTATTTAATTTCTTCAAACATTTAATTGTATTTTCCTGTATTCCTTCAAGGGCTTTATTAATTTAACTTTTAAAGTTCTTCATCATCAGTAGAAGATTGGATTTAAGGCCATTTTCTTGTTCTTTGGTTATGTTAGGATATGCAAGGCTTGCTGTAATACAATAACCATGGTGCTGAGTTTTGTTTTTATTGTGTTCTTATGCTGGCCAGTAACCATCTGGTCGTTTCTGGATATTCCCTTTGTAATCAGTATTAGGAAGTGGCCTAATATCTATCATCCTTATATTGGAGGCTTCTGGTGGGTACCTTTGGGATGAACAATAGAACTCAGAGGAAGGTGCAAATCTACCAGCAGTTGGGTGAGCCACAGTATGGTTCTGGTCCAGTAGTTATGATGAATTTGGGCAGAGAGTTGACAGCTCAGGATAGCTGGGCATACATCAGATGTCTGGACAGGTAGGGGAAATTAGTGCAGGAAGGAAATCTAATCTCTATGATTCTGGATCAGCAGGTCTAATGAAGGTGGGTGGAGAGGTGGCTGGATAAAGTTGTCTGTAGTATTGGTTCAATAATTTACTTACATCAACAAGGAAATAAGGATGGTACTGTAGTACAGACAGTTAAAACCTTCTATTAGTTTGGATTTCATTGTTGTGAAAGGACACCATAACAAATTCCAGTATTATTAAAGAATACATTTATTTGGGGCTGGCTTAAAGTTTCAGAGGTTCAGTCTAATATTATGGAGGGAAGCATGACAGCATTCAGGTGTACATAATGCTGGAAGATTCAAGATTCTACATCTTGATTGAAGGCAGCCAGGAAGAGTCATTCTTTGCACTGGATGCCAGGAGGTGCCTCTAATCTATACTGTTCTGAGCTTAAGCGTTGAATCTCAGAGCCCACCTCTAGAATGATGCATTATCTACAACAAGCCACAGGTACTTCAACAAGACCACATATCCTAATATTTTCACTTTCTAGAGGACAACATACTCAAATCACCACAAAAGTCATTAACACCTTGTACATGTTCTTGGTCAAAAGTGTAGTCCTTAAGGATTAGAATCTCTAAATGTTGGTTCTGAATATTTTAGGCTCAACCCACATCTTCAATGGAGCCATGATTTCTGTGTTTCTCTAACTGAAATCCCACATAGTGCTCTAACCAGGGAGTTTTACTGGGTCTCTCCCCTGTCAGGGTCTCAAGAATTCTTTGCTTCTTCAAGGTCTCTTCTTGGTCTTTGTATGAAATCACTTCCACCCTGTGTGATGCTGTGCATTTTGTGTTCAAGTCAGAAGTTATCCTACAATTAAAAGTCATTTACAATGGGCCTGCTTATGTAAGTTTGTACATGAAGTTTTTACCACAGAAGCACAAGTATCTATGTTTAGTTCTCTGTAACTAAAAAGTAGGTTGGTTTTATACCCATCGTAAGGTCCAGGCCCAGAGATGGACTGTATTTCAAAGTTATTGTGTAGATTGATAGAAGAAATCATCTTATCTCAACATGTACACGTTCATACACACAATCACAACACACAGTCATTCACATTCACCCATTGAGAGTGAGAGAATGAAAGAGAGAGAGGCACAGAGAGATTCAGAGAGAGATAAATAGAATGATAAAGATACAAATAAATAAATAAACACAGACAGACCTACAGAGAGAAAAAGGGCCACTATAATAAATACATGAATACAAAACACATATTAAACAGGAAAACTGAAATTTGAAAAAAAGTATTTGTACCCTTCAGGGTTACTACACACTATAATTGTAGAGACAATCCTTGTATGCAGGCAGCCTAGACACAAAGAAGTTGCACCCTCTTTTCCCTCTAACTCTTTCTACATAGGCTATAACTGTCAGTAACTAGGAGTTTTTGTGTGCTCTCTGTGCCCTCTGCTGGTCTCAAGTGCTCTGCAGGAGGTTTATGTTTGAGCTCACAGTAATATTCACCCACTGTGTGTCTTGCACAGTAATATATGGCTGTGTCCTCAGACCTCAGACTGCTCATTTGCAGGTATAGGGCATTTTTTGCATTGTCTCTGGAGATGGTGAATCGGCCCTTCATCGTGTCTGGATAGTAGGTGCTACCACCACTCCAACTAATGCTTGCCATCCACTCCAGCCCCTTCTTTGGAATCTGGCGGACCCATGCCATTGCATAGTCATCGAAAGTGAATCCAGACGCTGCACATGAGAGCTTCAGAGAACTTCCAGGCTGTACTAAGCCTCCCCCAGACTCCACCAGCTTCACCTCACACTCTACCCCTGCAAATAGAGAATTCTGATTAGAAAATTGTCACTAACAAAACAAAACAAGATGAAAAAATAAAACATTTTTTCTAGTTCTCATATACACACAAGAGACAGAATCTAATCTGTATGAATTACCTGTTGAAATAAGGATAAGGAAAACCAAGCTGAGCCTGAGGTCCATGGCAAGTGCTCGGTGTTTACTACTGGTCAATGAATGTGAGGACAGGGGAATCCAGGGCTGGGCTCCTCTGTCTGAGCTGTAGTTTGAGAGCAGAGCTGGTTTTCATGGGCACTGAGAAGCCTTATTTGCATGTTTTCCTGCTATAGCATGCTCTGGAGCTGGACTTGGGCAGATGGCAGTGATCACAGCACATATAAGACATCAAAGACACAGATGTCAGTTACAGAATTTAACAGTGTCATACTTTCATATTCACATTTTTGTTTTAGTTAAGATTTCATCATATTTCATTTAGTTCACGTTTGTACATGTGCATAGAACATACTTTGTTTCCATACTTTCATGTGTCCTAGTATGAATATGCAATTAAATATAACCGTGCATAATCATGTTTCTAGATATGAGATTAGCCTTTCCCACTGTCTGGAGTGCTCGTGCCATTTTACTAGTGTGACTTTTGTACAGGTCAATACCTTTATTGAAGGTATGGTAACAGAATTTACTCTTAGAATTTTTTCAAAATTAACTTATTCATGACAGAATGCTCTCCTCAGGCCCTATGGAGGCTTGCACCTGGTCCCTGTCTGTTTACTACTCAGAATCTCTGTAGATGTATTTCTCTTTGAGACAAATGTAGTTGTTTTTTAATTCTTTTATTCCTTTTAAGTTCTATGCCATTTTCTTTTTGCATCTTTATATTAGGTAAACATAATTGTCTTTATGTTATGTAAGGCTAGTTTTGATTTTCCACAATTAATATAATTAGTATATCCAGGGCATTGAATTAAATTTTAGGATGCCTTTTTCCGTTTTAACCACTTCTTTGGTTTCTGTCCTCCTATTCCTTTCCCTCTCACTTTTGCCTATAAATCACCAATATTCCCTTGTCCTTGTTGCTCCCTGACCCACACTTAAGATGTGTCTTCTTCCTAGGGTTCTAGTTCCACATGCTACAAAATATAATTCAGAACCACAGATATACAAAGAAGATTGTGAATATGAAAGAAACAGCTAGTCTTTATCCTTTAAGGCCTTCGTTATATTGCTTGAGATAACATTTGAGTTCTTCCAAGGCTCAGAGAACATGGAGTAAGAGGATGTGGAGAGAGTGTAATATGTGAAACTTGGAGTAGAGAACCATGAAATAATGTCTTGTTGACAGGATATGCCTATTGCATTCATGAGCTCATGGTGGCTGTTGTCTGTGTAAGCCCCATCTGAGATCAAGCAAATCATAACCTAGAATGGACATTGTAAGTATTTTTCATGCCTTCTCTCTTAGTGGGGAGTTGCTGGATATAGATATTTCCTGGAGAGGACCACATTTTTGAAAATGTGGTCACTGGTAGATTTTCTATGTTGCAGTGCTTGCTTCCACACACATGTATATATGGGCAGCATTTCTGCAATAAAAATGCCTTGAAGTTGAGAGAGGTTGAGCTGGCAAAATATGAGGGATGTTGAAGGAGAAAATAGGGTAGAGATGTGGTCATATTAAACATATACATGTGGAGTATACAATTCTTCAAAATTGAGAAAGAAATAGTGCCTACTGGAAGGCTGAATGATGAATAGCTGATGTCTTTAAACAAGACAGTAAATTCCTGGAGAAAATGTTCAGGAATATGCTTCAAAATATGATATGAGTGGATACATAAGGCAACCGTCAGTAAAAGGAATGGTATTGGATGTTTTCTTTTAAAATTTTACTACACTGTATTTCAAGGTACACTTTGGAACGATGATATTAGCACCAATGTGGCAGCTGTAATACACAGACATGCAGAGAAAGAGAAGTCTGAGAAAGAAATTACAGAGGCCTGAGGGGGTAGATGATGTTTGCGGACATGTTATTTAGCAGCTGCCATACATACTGATCCTCAGCCTGATCCTGGCTGACATGATAGTGAATGATTTACATTTAGCAATGTATGAATTGTTACTTGCTGTTGTAGGCTCAGATCCAGAATTATAGTAATCAAATCAATCTTAGTTCTAAACTCTCCTCACATTCTCTGAATGACACTTCTCTAGCTCTTCTGTGAGACACCAGGTTCTTCTAGTCAGCATCAACATCTGGGCTGTGATCACACTTATGTCCAATGAAGTGTCACCTGTGACACTAAAGTTTATTTTAAGCATCAATATATCATTCTATGCACATTAAGACTTCAGTTCACATATGCTTTTCTGACGGGTTGAATAGAAATTATTTTAAAGTATAACTTATGTCATTTTATTTCCTGTACTTGCTTAAGGTGTAAATTACATGAAACCATGTTTTAAGTTTGATATGGAATTGTGATGGGTTCATAATCTTGAATCTCCTTGGACTTCATGCTTATGTTTTTCTGCATCCCACCATGTTGCATTTAGGAGTCATGATTTCAGAAACATTTTTTTCAAGCTACTAACCTTTCTGAAAGATTTATCCCCCAGAGTAGATGTTAATTAAAAGTTCCCAGAGAGAGCACAAATTCAAAGCATTAAACCGTCTCTACATGTTCAGGTAAAATATGATGTCTGTAGATTTATTAACTATGAAATCATGACTAATATCATTGTTAATAGTAAGTGCTGATATGTTTAAGAGATACCAGATTTCATGTGTACAACACAGAACAAAGAACTTCTTCCTACAGTTTGAAATACTGGAAAATCACAGGAATGTTGGTAGTCACAGTAGGCATCAGAATCACCATAGAACTATGTACAAATGAGTTGAATTGTCCAAGCAAAGATCCCATGAAAAAAACAGTGCTTATCTTACTTGTGCAGTAAAGGTTTTTGATTGTGAATATTAAAAAGTAACTACATGAATATCAGAGCATTAGATAAAATAATTGATAGCATAATTCTATCAATTATGAGAATTTCATAGATAGAATGAGTGCATAATCAGATTTACTTATATCCATCAGTGAGAAAAACATACAGTAGAAATCTCAAATGGTGAACATTAGATTCTAAAAACAAAGCCTGATTAATCTGAGAAAGTGGTGACCAGTCTCTGTATGGAAACAAGAAGTGTTCTCCTAGGAGAGTGCCCTGATCATCTTGCCAGAGTCCTCATTCCAGCAAATCAGTAAGGCCACATTCTACACCAGTTAATACATGAAAGCTTAATTTGTCCATGCAGGCTTCTTTGCACAGATGAACTGGCATCCTGTGACTCTTCACTGCACACTAGATTCAGACTCTTTTCTTTGGTTCCTGTGATGAGAGTCCCAAGGCTTTGATAACTGTGTACTGAATAAACACCTTGGAGCTCTTATTCAGGAGTTAAGCTGATCAGTAAGACTGGAACAGAGCCAGACTTGGAGGCTAGGATCAAGCAGGACACCTGTGCCTCCAGGATTCCTATCTCACATTGCTAAAATGCCCTGATGATGAAACAAAAAGCTTAAGGACATTGAACTCTCTGACCTGCCTTCATCAGCCATTCTTCCACTACCCAGTATGCTCCTCTGTTTCCTTTACCTCCAGGGATGCATTTTTTCCTTACAGAAGACAGACATGTTATACTGCTTTTGTTTTGTCTTTTGGATGATCCTAGCAACCGATAACCTTGTAAAATTAATGAAAATGGGAAGTGCATTCTGTTGGTGGATATTAAGTAACCAGGATAATATTCAGATAATGGCCTGAAGTCTGTGATTTTTACCAAAAGTTCTACATTTCATATTTTCAGGAGAACCAGGGATCTTACTGTGGGTTACTATTGCTATGACGAAGCACCACGACAAAGGAATTTTGGGTGAAAGTGTTTATTTAACCAACAGTCATACATTGTTGCTCATTATGAAAAGAAATCTGACAGGAACTCACATAGGGCAGGAAACTAGTGGGAAGAGTTCATGCATTAGGATCAGCACGCAAGTTTAAGGTAATATTTATCCTCTCTATTGAAATCACAGGAAAAGTTATGAGATTAATGTGAGCTGCAGTGATGTGCTACATCCCAGTAATCCTGATTACTCTTTTTCTGAATTGTTAAAAAGAGATTTCATATTTGGCTGACTAGTTGAGCTCTGAGTGTGGCCACAATTTGTGCCGCCTTTCTCATTGGATGCATGTTTCTAAACTTGGTTGGACATCACTAGGTGTTCACAGGCCATGAGGAAACAATAAAGACATTCTGTAATTAGTCCATAGTTCACAGATATGAAATCAAACAACATGTGCAATTAAATAGCACCACACATAACTGTGTTTCTAGATATGACCTCAGTCTTTCACACTGTCTGGGCAGGTGATGGCTTTTCCCAATGGCTGTAGAGGGTCATACCTATGAGCTGAAGGTAGTAGAACTCATTCTCTGTAACAGGAACACTTGGAATTTTCTGAATATTTTTATTGGATATTATATTTACATATCAGATGTTATCCCCTTACCCCAATTCGCCCCCAGCTCAGGAACCCCCTATACTATCCCCCTCCTCCTGCTTCTATGATGATATGCCCCCAACTACACCCCAACTCCTACCTCCCCATCCACGAATTTCCCCACACTCAGTGTCCAGCCTTCATGGGACCAAGAATCTCCTCTCCCACCTATGCCCAACAAGGCAATCCTCCCCTACATACACAGCTGGAGCCATGGGTCCCTCAGTATGTGCTCCCAGGCTTGTGGTTTAGACTTTGAGACCTCTGGTTGATTGGTATTGTTGCTTTTCCCATGGGGCTGCAAACCTTTTCAGCTCCTTCAGTCTTCTAACTCCCCCATTGTGAATCCCTTCATCAGTTCAATGTTTAGCTGTGAGCATTGGCCTCTGAATATGTCAGACTCTAGCAGACTGCTAAGGAGACAGCTACATCAGGCTCCTGTCAGCATGCAATTCCTGACATCCACATCAGTGTTTATGTTTGGTGAGTGCACATGGGATGGATAACCAGGTGGAATGGTCTCCAGACGGCTCCTCCTTCAAATTTGCTCCCTTGATTATTTTGTTTCTTCTTCTAAGAAGGACTGAAGCACCCACACTTGGTCTCCCTTCTTTATGAGCTTCATGTGGTCTCTGAGTTGAATCTTGGATATTTCAAGCTTCTGGGCTAATATCCA